AAATAAGACTTATAGCAATTTTAGTGATATATAGCGTTTTTAGTAAATATTTAGTGTTGTAGTAGTTTGTACAAGTACATATATTATAATAAAATATCAGATTCATTTTTATTCGATTATAAGGGATTTTCCGATGGCATAATTCGGTTAAATTAGTTTCGAGATAATATAATGGCTAAATTATTCTCAGATCATTAATCAGAGGTGTATGACGTATATCGTATCACAGGAATCATCCTAGCTCCCTGCCAGTTCCACGACAGTTCTCAGACACTTCTTCGACGCTAGCTAGTCACCGAAATCACGAGATGATCGGCCAATCAGATTCGGAAAAAAATATTACAGGCATATCAAGGGAGGAATTTTTTATTTGCATGCATTGTAGATTAATTTACGTTCGCAAAACGAACTCACAGATGAAGTTAAAAAAGGACAAAGTTCACTATGTGAACAAACTATTACTTTTTATTTATGCTTAACTACACAAAAATGAAAATTCTTAACACTTTGCGCAGTAATGTAGTGCAGTAATATCTAACTTTGAGATATTTTTGCCAGCTCCTTAGCACATAGTGAGCCAAAAATTCGGAGCACTATATACAATAATACTCAATTTGTGATCACTGAGAAAAAAGTCTCAACTATTGCAACTATGAGTTTATTAACAGCAAATGACATAAATTCCTATATAAGATCAAATTAAAAAGAATACTCATATTACGAAAAATGATATGTATGAGATATTTCATTGTTACCGACACTTCTTTTTACTTTCTAGCTTTTTTTAACCCATCTTCGTTTCCATCAGAGTTGGGATTATCAGTCGTTAACTTACGTTTAATCAATTGCGTACTTGCTTCATGAAAATCGTTATAATGTTTATTGATCCGGCGATATCCATTGACAATTACGGAATCCTGGAATATTTTGCAAGAGATGAGCTTATATTGTATAACCACCAAAAATAATTCAATAGAAAATATTCTAACCTCAACAATTTCTAATTCCTTCTTTATAGTCGCTTCTTTGGTAAGCAGTTTGGTTGCATTGGCTATTTGTTTTCTTGTTGCCTTCTTTATAATTCTTGATGTCTGGCACATCTGTGATAGATCAAGATTGTAGATTGATTAACCAATGTAAAACAGCTAGATGAACGTCAAAGCGACTCATAAAGAGTCTGGAATGTTATACTTTAGTTAGATGAGCTCGCGACTCATCCCACGAAAACACGTTTCGCTCACAAGCACACTGGCCTTTTCTGTACTAAATTATAACTAGACACGATATCCCTCTGGAAGTAGCCAAAACTTTATGTTCTTGACTTATAACGAGAACTTCCCGCCCAAGCACACAGCCCGCTCGCCAACAAGCGCAAGGCCTGCATAGGATTCAGTCCTCAGACTGTTTCTTCTTATTTGATACATTATCGATACATTAATACAATTACCTTTAGTTGTCCCTCCAGTTGTGTAAGTCGTAGCTGAGCGGGATGATCCTCTACAAACAACTTTCGTAAAACCTCGATCTCTTTTTTAAATGAATGATGTACACGATCTTTTTTGACATTGCTTAGATGTTCAGAATACTCGTTAAGGCTTGGCCATTTAGTGTAGTGGCAATTCCAAAGTTCTACCAGAATGTGAAGAATAAATATATACACCTCATATTCTTACTAATAAATAACATATTTGCAAATTCTTACCGTAATAACGGAGGAGCCCTGATGCAGTCTCAGGTAAATGAGTGTTATTTTCGTTAATGTCATTAGGATATTCGACCTTTTCTATTGATGATCCTTTTAATTTTAAATCGGGATGCAATGATTGAGCGATTGTTTGGCTCTTCACGTGAGGTGTTTGTTGATTTTCTAGAAGTGGAGTTAGTTTATCCGAGATTCTTTCAGTTGAAATTGATTTATGAAGTGGTTCAACGACTACTCCAGCGGTTGGTAACTCATCTTGAGGCAACGACGCTAATTATAGAGATGGTAAGACAGGGTTAAGTTTATAACAGTAAAGGCTCGGGAGATTAGAATGCAGTCGTATAGTTACCACGCTCTTCACCGTTAAGTTTCAAAATCAAGTCTGCGAGTTTTGCGACCGATCCTACTTTAAATCCACAATCATTAAGCCTTTTCTCGTTCAACAAAAGAAAAGCGGAACCGTCTATCTCCTCTTCGAGCAAAATTCTGAAATGAGTGTCGTTAAGTTGTAAGCCTTTTCTCTGTAAAAAATTGAAAAGTTCTTTTGTGTTGTATTTTCGGATATGAACTAATGTTTCTTCCGTCATGGCTAAACAACGTATCACAAATGTGCAGTTCGGGTAAGAGAAGTTTTGGAGTACTTAGGTTAGTACAGTATATGAGAAAGTGGAGAAGCAAGCGAAATAATATGATGCTATCAAAGAGGGAGGGAGTACGCGGATCCTAGGCCATCTAATGCGAGTCCCAGCATCAAGTTATTTCTTCGCTCTCTCACGTTTAAGAAAAATATCTATAACTAATTTGTTTCTATTGCTAATATTTCTAATTACAAGATTCTCATCCCTATACTCTTTTTCTACATTAGATTTTCGAAATAAATTATCCCACTCATGTCTACAGGATTTTTGTCTATCTATATCTCTCACAAACACGCAGATTATGTAAAATAATATTCCCCGTAATGAAACTTCTCGGAGATTAAGTAATTTCGAATCTATGGATAAATTCGGGAGATTAGCAACTGAGGTAAAAAAAAATATTTCCGATTCACACTTACCATTACTATTAATTTTCGCAACATTCCATTCCGCCTGAAATTTATTACTTAATGCATTACAATAAAGGTAATTCGATTTTTTTTATTGCCCGTACGATATTGCGCAGAATTCGGCAAGTGAAGATGTTTATGACTCCTGATATACTACGCCAGACCTTTGCTGTGAAGTTGCATGTGACGAGATTCATGTGAGTAATTTCACTGCGTCCAATTGTACGCGTGATGATGGTCAGTGATTTTCTCGGCGAAGATCAAAATGCCGATATATAACAAGAAGACCGGAGGAAGTAATATGTCCGTTATTTTATTTTGGAGCATCTATAGAGGCGGGAAAATCGATTAACATCGTGATGACGTGTTTAGAGAAACTAGCCGAGCAACAAACCAACTTACTTTATTATTACTTTGCGGAATATACGGTTCATTTGATTGTAAATATCGATGATGCAAATAATTGTAGGTTTGAAATTTTATTAGAATTTGTTTGATATTATGCTTGCTTATATTTGCGCAAGGTAGATAAAAGGGTTCACTAACCAGGACATTGCCTTTTTATATAATTTGCAGGATCGATTTTGGAATACGCTTTTTGGGGGAAAATTACGTTCATCACGAAAATCTGATCAACGGACTTCCCTTAATATAACAATAAAAGAATTTAACGCTATCCATATGTAAAGATCATCAAGGGGTCCTTTTACAATAATATATGTAATAATTTTGAGAATATGCGAGAAAGATTGAGAATAAAAGTCCCTGGATCTTCGCCGACGATCTTACAGTCTAATGCTAGCCGATCCTGAGTTGCAAATTAACCTGTATTAGAATGCACTATTAGCGGGTGATCAGTCAAAGGCGTTTCACCAAAAATTTATCACTAGATGATCCAATATGGGCTGTATGATTTCACCTGAAAAAAACCAATCCCCTGAAATGTACTAAAATCAAAGATCGTGTAACATTTGTAACCAAAAGTTCGTATAATATTAAAACGCGACGGACACCTGAAAAACAATACATATCAGGATGTATTTTCTCAATGTCCCAACCCCTGATTTATTCTATATAAGCATGTTCACATTCTTGTGGTATCCGCCGTGAACGAGGAAAATAAGGCATAGCAGGCAAAAAAAAAACGCTTATAGTTCTAAATATATTTTTATTAAAATCATTTTGTAAAATTTATCACAATAAAGAAATTATTTTTCATATTTTTTTTTGATATAATAAAAATAAAATTTTCGCGGAGTTGCATGGGAGAACGCGCTCTAAATATCATATAGTTGCATTAGGCAATTAGTCTGATATATAGAACACTTGCATTGAGATGGAGAAAAATGCGAGTAATAGAATATCGGAATTCGAGAGCATTTTGCGGAGATAGATGAGAAATTGAGTTTGTTAGAGTGTTTGAGGACGCATCCGATTTTCACCCAGCTTTTTTATAATTAAGACCCTTCCGCAGTTAAGAGCTACGATCGTCGCAAAACATGAAAATCTTAATATCCAATAATTTGTCGATCCTAATTTTCAAAAATAACTTGCATTACTCTCGAGCGATCAGCGGAATATAGTATATAGGGATAAGTCATTACTGGTTAAGAGGTCATATGCAGTATTAAAATTCTTTTATTTTCGTGTGACATGACTATATCTTAAGGATGGAAAACGATGCAGGGGCTGGAATTCGGAAATAATTTTACTTCACCCGTCTTGAAAAATGTCGGAATACATGGTATTTTTATGCGGACAGGTATCCATGCTTATTTTTACTTCGCTTGAATGATACCCCTTATCCTTTATTAACCCCACCACTACACCTAGGTTCCACATTTCTCAGAATGGAAGACCACGAAATTGCATACATGAAACTTCATTTGAGGGAACTCGAATCCGGGAGTAGAATGCTCCTAGTCGAATCAGATTCGGAACCATATTTCTCGGGATCAAGATAAAATACCGTAAGTATCATTCGGTTGATGGGATTGATGATGGGTGTGATGGATGTACAGGCGATTAGCTTCGTTTGATTTAAGCTGGTTCAACTAAAAACTTACCTCTTCTTGTCCGAGGTCTTGGAATCCTGGTTGTTTCAGCTTTAGTGAAGATATACCCGCAGACTTGGAATCGCCAGCATCACGATCGGAAATGATAGAGAAAAATCGTCTATTATCCCATGTCGAGAAAGTATCCTGAGAAGATTTTTTTTCCTCAATCTGTTTCCTAGCTTTTTTATTTCCAAGATCATCTCTATCATCGGATGTGTGAAACCAGGGTCGTGTGGTTCAAGAATCATAAATTTGGGATCGTAGATATTTCCTGTTTGTTTCAGCTTTAGTGGAAATATACCCGCGGACTTGGAATCGCCAGCATCACGAAAAATCAAGATCGGAAATGGCGGAGAAAAGATAAATTTAATATTGATTAGTTTGTATTGTTTGAATTTAAACACGAAGCAGATAAAAAAAAAAGACTATATCTCACCTTATCTTTATGTTATGTAGCACAACTAAGAAATCGGCAATCCGGTTAATTGTTATTCAGACCAGGGGCTTTAGTACATATGGGAAAGTTCTAGATAAAATATGCTACGGCTTTGAGAATGTTTCTTTCATGAAAGAACTCTTCCTTCCACAATACTTCCGTTGCGATTTTTTTTTTCAATGTTAATCCCGAGAAGAATTTTTTCCTTCCTCAATATAAGGTAATAGTTAGTTGGATGAGTCTCTCGAACTTGCAATACAAGAAGAATTCGATACTTACATTTCTTTCCTTAGGCCTCGCTTCGACATTTCAAGGAGATTATTTCAGGAAAAATTAGGATCATCTATCAGAATATAAAAAAACAATGTATGCGAATCTTACGTCGCACAACCCCTATTCTTATCTTTTACGCATTTCAGGTGATCGATCCACATGACCGTCTAAGCCACCCACGTGTTTCGAACGAAGATTTTTGTTCTTCCTCTATGATACGATCGCGAATTTGAATTTATTGCCTGAAGTGAAGCAAGTAAGACAATATTCTGTTCCATACCATTCGCCATGTAATCCATAATTTCCATGTTTTCCATCACAAATAGGGCATGGTGAGCTCCACGGCTGAGGTGATGTAAAATTATAATTATCAATCCCTCTGAAACTATTTCGGAATTTCAAGTATGGGAAGTGCTCTAAGACTGACTGGATAATTGATTCTGGATTGGGTCTGGCTTCGAAGGTGATAGGCTCGAAATCAGAGGCTTGAGATAGTCCCAGCTGAAGGCGCTCAGAGCAAGGGACTGGTTCTGCTGACATATATATCACAGCTTCCGATAATTGCCATGGCTCATTTCCAGTTTCTCTTTTATATCTTTTGTATAAATTGGTACGAATCTTATCTGTCAAAACGCTTGGTAACCCACTTAATTTGGCATGCCAATCCAGATACTTGGGGGTTAATACTTTATCGGACTTGCCCATATTGTTTTTTTATATGATTGCAAATCAATTTAAATTACAGTAGATATTAGTCGACATAAATTAGCCCTGTAAAAAATAATTTCCCAAGGGAAACGCAAATATAGTATTGTAAAATAATGAGACTATGCAACTATCTCAATTTCACGCTGTTCACATTTAATAAAATAAGATCCAGCTTTATATATACCTTCTATGCTTTCCTCATCATCATGCTCTAACTTGCATAATGGGCATATTTTCTCATTGGTAATTCCAAAATAATCGAAATCTTCACTACTAAATTCTCTATATAAATTAGAATATTGATCCAATGTCTTGTTACGAAAATAGGTGCGATCATAAATTGGCTTAGATTGGGATGCAGATGATACATTTGTCACTCCCAAGGGATTCGCCTGTATCTTCGATGCATTGGTTTTCGAAGTCACGTGCCCGTTCCAAATTGGAACGGAGTCTTCATAACCTACATTATCCGTATTAGTAGCTTTTTTTAGGAAATCATTTATAATGTCCTGGATCTGATTATCAGATAAACTTGAGATGGCACTTGCACTACAGCTAATTATTTGGATTCTATTTATTCCTATCCCATCAAACAATATATAGATTTTTTTAGCTCTGAAAGTTATTTTACGCAAGTTTACATCAGTAATGTCAGGAAGCAGGGTTTTGATTTCGCTGTACACCAATGTTCTTGCTGATTTGTCATCAACACCATTCTTAGACTTAACGTCCCTGACTCGATCCTCATATGCTTTATAGTAACAATACCAGCATAAAATCTCCTTACGTCTAAGCTTCATTGCTACTCTAAATAGATCAACTATATTCTGTGCCGTAACTTCACTAGATCCTGTCAGAATTGCTTCTAAAGAGAGTTCAGGAATCTGAATATTAAACGCCTTATTGACCTTACCATCACCACCTTTAGTGCAAGAGGATAGCTCCCGTCTCAAATTTTGATCCACTTTTTGATTATAAGGAATTTTTCGACACTCCGTATCTGCGTTCTCATATGATTCAGAAGCCGGAACCTGTTTGTCCACCATAGATGATTTCACGGGAGATGCCCCAACAGATGTTTGTTCTGGGAGGGTTACAAGTTCAGTGCTAGTCATGGAGATGTCCTCCTCACAGTGAGTCAAGTCTGAGATAACTGAGGATGAGTCTTTGGCAGTCATCTTATGCTGAACCTTCTTTTCCCGCCTCCTCTCTCTAATTTTATCACTGATGCTTTTCTTATTTACTTCAACCAAGAAAGCATCCATCTCCTTTTCCTCCGATGTCCTTGAGTCAATATTATTTCGCTGGTCTACTACGGCATTAGATAAATCAACATCTGACACTGCTATCTCTGGTGACATCTCTGCAATCGTTTCCTTATTGTTCTGTAGAGTCACCAAAGAACCCTGTTCCAATATCGCGAGTCTAGCCTCAAGCTCTTTATTTTTTTGCTCTAGTTCTTCTACTCTAGCGTCACGTCTGGCATTCTCCTCAATAATCTGCCTCAGCTTCGCGATCTCTGCCTCAAGCTCGTAATTCTTGGCCACAAGTCTAGCATTTTCTTGCCTAAGTAAGTCAATCTCGGATTCCATTTTGATAACACTTTTTATATAAGTATTCAAAATAAAAAAGTCATTTGTGTCCGTTCCAATTTGGAACGCAGATCGCTTTGCCGAGAAAAAAATGTTTTATTAATACACAAAAAATAAATCCAATTTCGGGACATAGCCCGTGGTACATGCTGTAATTTCGTTTTACAAAATGAAATGTTTATCTACAGACCCACACCAGTGTTTCGTTCATCTAAACTATCTATACTAACATAATATCACAACATTAACTCTAATCCGATTTCATTTGCCTCAACGTCAATATTCTGAGTAGAATAAAATGGTCGTCAGTTATGCCTAAAGAGACATTCGCGTTAGGAATAATAAACATTTATTTAGTAAAGGCCTCACCGAAATTTATGTTGCCCACCTTCCGTGATGCTCGTAATCCTGAGCGAAAAAAATGGATATTAACTTGCGAGCCCTGAAATGCAAATGCCACAGCCGAGGAGTCTATGTAACAAAAATTCTCCGAAAACTCGGAGCTGGAAAAATCATGTCGTATGTCACACGGCCACATGATTCATGCCTTTTTTGTATAGTTAAATACAGTATTTATCAACGAGACGTCAATGAAATAATTCGTCTAGGTTGAAAGTTTGACAAATTTTTGGGACACTTTAATTGCGCAAATTTTTATTACAAGAAGAAAGAACTTTTTACATACCATACAGATCTCTTGGTGCGTATATAGCGTTTGTTTTGGTTTATGGTTAATACGATTCCAACACAATTTCAAAATTTTGACTTTACTTCTTTGAATTCTAAAAGTACGGAGTTTGAAATTTAGTAGAGTCTATATTTATGCTACTTTTTTCAGTATGCCTTTGAATGAAAGAAGGTACGTGATAGGATAACACGAGTAACGTGAGTGATACGGAAGACAATAGATAAAAAGACAAGTTGAGAAATCCAAGTTGGTTGGCCCACGCGACGACCAGATCTCAAAGATATAGGAAGTTCTCGAATAATTTCGCCCATATCTGTTACTTATTAACCGAAATCAACAAACCTGACCGAATTTGAGTCAGTTCTTTGGAGGCCACGGCTGGCCACGTGTACAATTTTATCTAGCCTTAATTAGCTTAATCAATTCATCATGACTCGAATTCCCGATTTTTTTTTTATCCGATATTTCCCGTATTCAGATCAAAAGAGAGATTATTTTTTCTAGCTTTATTTTAACTCTGATTTTCGCGTCCATCAGAAATAACACCATCATGGTGTTTTGTTTTGTGGTGGGTAATAAGATTGAGAACGCCTTTGAAGTTGAAGGCGACAGCAACATATCCGTTTCGGAATTCAGACGTTTAATCTACGATCAGAATAAGAACGATTTTGAAAGCCAACGTATTGATGCCAACAAGTTGTCTCTATGGAAGGTGGATTTACCTTTAGGAGATGATAGACTGAAAAAACTTGAAAACAGATCTCGTGATAGAGATAAAGAAAATACTACTATAAAAAATGAACTCGATGGTGATAATTTGTTACCAAATGCATATCTTGGCGAAATCTTCTCGGGTGGCTCCAATAACGTCCGCATAATTGTCCAACCACCCCTGCCTGCCACCACTGGTAAGTGTCTCACCTCTCGAACAAGAAACTCGCGTTATCTCACATCCTGTATTTTTTTTCATTCGATTAGGAAAAAGGAAAGCAGAAGATTCGGACGAAGATATTGAGAACCAAGCCATAAAGAAGAAACTAATAGAGGCCCAAAAAAAAGGTATTTATTATTTAATGTTGACTTTTATAAAGAATGATAAAGTCTTAACTCGATTTTATACCTCTTCTATATGAAGATAAGATGATGATCAAACACCTTATCGATGTCTTATCTTCTATCGACACAAATCAACAAGTGTTCCATGTACCACCATTGCCAGGAGAAGTCAGTACAATGGATATATATAATCGGGGATGCTACGACTATTTTCGTAAATTTATACTCAATAATAAATCCCACAATCGGTTTTTAATCACCGGAAATCCGGGCATCGGCAAGACATATTTTGGGAGATTAATGTTAGTTGAGCTTCTTCAAAGTAAAAAACCAGTTCTTATCGACTGTAAAGATTGCACGCTATATATTGACCCTCAAGGTGTATCTTTCAAAGTGAATAGTGAGGAGTACAAACTTCTTGCAAAAAATGAGACTTGGTGCATAATTGATGGAAAAAAGCCCCAAGTAAGTCATGATTGGACTGAAGGGAAGTTTATAATGGTATCTTCGCCTAAAAGAGAGATCATTGCTGATTTTGACAAACCAAGGTGTGAAACACTATATATGCCAACTTGGAATGAGGATGAGTTACTTAAATGTTGGGATAATCTATATGTAAACAAAATTACTAAAGAAGAAATCAAAACAAAGTTTGACTTATGTGGTGGGATCCCAAGATGGATTTTTGATAGTAAGATGAGCTGTGAAAAAATTCGTAATATGATTGTTTCTGCATCTGCATCTCAATCAATTGATTCATGTATTATAGATTCTCAAGCCAAACTCTTCTTTGGTCATGAATTTTCTCACAAGATAATTCAAATACACACCAATCTCGAGGACACGGAAAATCCATATACTGATTCCATCTGCCTTTTCGCATCAAAATTTGCGGGAAATAAATGTTTAGATCAATTAAAAAAACATAAAAAGGAGGAACTTCGCACTTTCATTGAGAGTGCAAGGAATATGAAGGAAATGTCCGCTCTTCGTGGACAGCTATTCGAATTGATTTCACATGAAATTCTTCGTCGGGGAGGAAAATTTTCAGTACGCAAACTAACTACTAAGGGTACGGAACCTGAAGTATTTGAAGAATTTGATTCAGATTTAGAAGAAAAATTTTTTTGGTCTATTGATGAGATTAAAGATGATATACAGAAAGGACAAAAAAATTATTATCGGCCAAATTCTGATACGTTCGAAAGTATTGATAGTTATGTTTATCCAAATAAGATGTTTCAAGTTACTGTTTCTAGAAGACATGGTGTCAAACAAGATGGGCTAAGAGCAATCAAGAAAGTTTTAGATGAAGATTCTGATATTAACATTTACTTTGTTTTGCCAAAGGATATATTCGAAAATTTTAAAACAAAACAGTCTTATGAGAATAAGGGGGACAACAAGAGATTTGACGCTTGGATTAATAATATAGTGCAGTATGCACTATGCGTAGATCTTGATAAGTATTGCGGAGAATTATAAAATATTTGATTAAGCATTTATCATTAAGTGTAAACCTAATAAATATACCATTAAAAATTGCATGAGCGAAATTTTTATTTGACTTCATATGTGTAAATTGCTTGTTAATCATTATAATACAATGTGTGTTGTAGCGTCTGAAGGCACTGGAGGAATTTCTCGAGTGTTCCTTCCCACCTAATGCTAATTTTTTCGCTATCTACGATTAGCAGAGTAAAATAAATAATACATCCGATTCACATTTTATATTTGTTTCAAACATATCGTGAATGCTCTTTGGTAGAATTCGGCATATGATACTGCTAATTTGTGCTGAATTTCGTGGCATATAATTAAAACTGCACCAATGAGACTTGCAATGAGAGACTTTGTTTTGACGATCACGATTTTCTAGTAAATCATTTTAGAATCATCCTGGAGGAATATGACGCGTCACAAAAATCTGATCATGCACCATAACGGTCGACACTAACTCTTCACATACTTTTACCTCCATCTAGCTCTATAAGCTTTTCACGACTGAGGTCAGCTAAATCTTCTATTTTTTAGAGATCTTGACAAGAAAATAAATAGGAGGAATCGGGTTTGAGAACTCGAGTGGGAAGTTTATTAATAAAGCAGTTGAAAGGACATGTTTTCCGACCGATAATTTATAATAGAAAGAAAATTTTGATGCTATCCGTATGTAAAAATCAACAAGGGTCTAAAGAAAATTAGCATACTATTCATTAGAGAAAATTAGCATAGGTGTAACCGTGAAGAATCTTCACGATTAAAATCACGTGAGTATTTAGATCAAAATTCAGAACCAAGAATAAATGTTTCTCAAGCGCCTGAACACTTTTTACCGAAGCTCTTTTTCTTGTCAGCGAATCTATTTTCAGCCATGATATCACGTCATGTGTAAAAAAATTTTTAATTGCATTTTGCGAGATAGTGAAGATTCAATTTGAAAGGCGACTGTGCAAAGCTTTGTCTTTTTTTCGGACAGTGGATGATCGTGACATTTTGTCAAGGTTTTTCAATAACCTAAAATTTCGCAGAGCTCGGCATTCTCAATATCACGCCAGTTTCAGCATCCTTATCCTTAAGCTCAGTATTCCCACCCTCGATCTCAGCAAACTTCTTCTTAAGTTCGGCAATCTCAACTAAGAGCTTAGCATTTAACTCTCTTAATGAATCAATAGATTGTGCGTTTGACAAATTAAATAATAAAAGATCACATGTCCGTTCCAATTGGAACGCAGGTCACTTTTTCCCAAGAAAAATTTTTTATTACATGCAAAAAATAAATACAAATGTTCGGGACCACGAAAAATAATATTTTATTTATGAAATAAAAAAAAATGTTGCCGGAACGAATTATAATTCGCTTACAATACATAAACATTGCGAATAGATCGCGTTACATGATTTGAATACTAATTATTTTTTGGAGAGATATAATCTGTTAAATCTATTTTTTTTCGAACATCTATTAATAAAAATAATGACAATCAGAACAACGCTTATTAGATTTTAGCTATAATAAGCTAAATTACTCACACAGCTCCTTAATGTAGTCTTCAAGTTCCAATGCTTGTCTCAGTGACATTCCATATTCCTTTAAATCCCATCCGCTTAGCTTAAGAAATGAATTACCGGTGATTTTTTTCTCCTCAAGTTCCGTAAAAAGGTCACCAACTTCTATGTGTTTTAATTTGGAATCCCCCCGCAAAAATTTGATAAGACTTTCTGTTTCATATTCTTTTAACATGTCAGCTTTAGTGGAGGTGGAAGACATCTTTTCTAATTACAAGGCCCATTGTAAGAAAAATCTCGCTCCTAAGCATACACAGCTTCTGGCATATACATACCTTGTTTTATGTTATTTTACAGGAAATATTTTTACGGAAAAGTTGACTGAACTTCTACATATCACACATGCTTTATATATTGTCCGGGGAAGGAAAGAATTAAGGAGGTATACGGCGTAATTAGTATTGTTGTCTGATGCTAAGAGTTCCATGAAAGCACATGTAAACGGAATCCTCATACCTTTTCATATGTAGATCTACCGGAAAGACACTTTTGGTTTTACGCCTAGCGATCTCGAAATTGCGAAGTTCTCAGTCTTTCATAACATATGCTTTTGTCGTCAATATTTACTTTTACGGTAGGTCCTGTATTGCGTGTAGACTTCCTTTCACATTTTTCTCATGTTTGTTGGGAAAAAAATAGAGGTAGTTAGTATATATGTTTTCTTTTCTAATATATGTAAAAATTAATATGCTTTGGCGCTTAATGGCTGTCGCACAGACCTATTATGTGATCAGCCCTATTTTTTGTCACACGATACGTGGCCCAGCAAAAAATCTTCCGAACGAAGCAATCACTACTCCGGGCTGATGAACAGTATTCCGGACTCAAAATTGAATGTATGCTAATCAGAGATAAACACAATCATGACAAGAAATACTAATAATAATCCTGATCAAGTCGATGCCCCATATGATGAGCTACATGAAGAGCTTTTATATGAATTGCTTTTATATAAGAAGGAAGATATAATAGCTATTCAGAAAAAACTCGGTATGAATCCAGACCGGGAGAAGGGACCTATTGAGAATAGAAATCAAACAGCATTGAATCAAAGCAAAAAAGGAAAAACACTTGAAGATTCGTTTGGATTATTATTTGATTTGGTGGGAGAATTAATAGATATACGAGGAGATCTCGATGTGAACTGCCAGCCCATTCTTACTATATTATATGAAAATATACAAGATCTTGAGGAAGGAGCATTTAGGAAAATGCCACTTGGAACATTATATCATTTGCTTTTATATTTGGAAGAGGAAATAAGCATGATTCAGAATGATCTTGGTATTGTCGATTATACTAATCCAGAAATAAGTGGATTAGAAGCTGATAAAAATGCAAGAGCATATCTTCAAAAGTTTAGACGGTCCCTTAGGAAATGTTCCAAGTGTGGTAATACAGCAATTCATCAATAGGATTTTACCGGAGAGGGCTTCCATTATTTCAATTGTGTGAAAATCCATCTAGTGCCGGCCAGTGCCATGTCTAGAACAGGTTATCTAATCTATATTTTTTTGTCGCACAGGGTATATCTAGATGCAAAAAAATCTTCTGAACTAATGATCATCGCTCTGGACTAGCTGGATTGGTAAAGTATGGTACCACTCTGCCTGATTGGCTAGTATTCTATCACCAGCTCTCGACATTAAGGTGGAAATAATACCTTGAGTCGGTGAATGTATAGCTATAGATGAATTGGAATTAGGTCGCCGGTATATCTGAGATAGAACCGAATTCTGGATATTACCAACTCTATGCCGAGTGTTATATAGCCCTCTTATCTCTTGATCTAATTCAGCTCGCATATCCATAGAATTCATGAAATTCTCGACATGGATATTTGGATTAAGTGAAACGAGCTGATCTATGGCTTCTTTAGTAATATTAGCACACCCCTCCAGATTAAGATATTTTAAATAAAGACACGAACGAGAAATTTCTTTGATAGTTACATCAGTAATTCCACAAAAACTAAGGTTGAGATGTTGGAGATTTGCACAGGAATGAATGGCATTGCAAATTGAAGTCTTGGCGACGTAAACACATCTACTAAAATCAAGATACTCTACACTAAGATGTTTCTCTACATTAAGGTGTTTCTCTACAGTAAGATGTTTCTTTACTAATATATCACATCTATTTTTTCTTCAACAGCTACCTGAAATACTGAATCTTCGTAAATTTGGGCATGAGTTTAAGATATGACTTATAAATCTTTCAGAAATCAAATGCGTACAAGCAAAATGAAACTCTTGTAAAGCTTGGCAACTTTCCGCAATTTTGATTAAAGATCTATCAGTAATGCCTTGGCAGAAAGAAATATTTAGATATTCTATTTTACGACATGATCCCACCATTCTACATAAAGCTTTATCACCCATAATACCACTATGACATAAATTAAGATATCTCAGATTGGGGTATGCTTTAAGCTGATTTAATGCTCTATTACTAAAACCCACACAATTTTTGAAATTCAAATGAATTATGTTTGGGCATGTTCTTACGATGCCTTCAATTTTCTTACTTGAAAGTGGATTATAGTATAGAATTTTGAGATAGGTTAGTTTCGAGCTATAAATTGGTTTTTGCTTCCCATATACTAATTCTATGAATTTCTTTGCTTTGGAATCGTTCCCCTTTAGCTTAATACGTTTCCATAGAATAGGAGCATCGCATCTGTACCACAATCGGGAAACATATAAAGCGGGGTAGAGGGCTTTATCTATCAATAAGAAATGTAAAATCTGTTCTAATAGTTCTGGTATAATAAAAATTCTTGATTGCGTCATAAATAGTCTGTATTATATGTTGTATCTTCAAACGAAAAAATAAAAGTACGCGATCACCCTCCTTCGATCAAAGATCTGCATTCCAAATTTTTACCTAAACGGCTTATCTTCCGCAGTATCAAAGGCACAAGGGAGGAATTTATTTCTGAATTTCAGCTAACATTGCATCAATTTCAGCTAACATGGAATCCATATCCATAGTCTGCTGAGACTTTTGATGATTGGGCTGGAACGCAGGCAAAGAAGCCTGTGTTTGGAATTTTGGGCTATTACTTACCTCAGATTCATGGTCAGATTCAGTATCGTTATCTTCTGATTCCGTATCGCCAATAGCATAACTATCCCCCGCATCAAGACGGTCTGATTCTTACCTCAATGTGATTTTTGAAAGTCGTTTAAGCTCCTCTGGAGTTGCATTCTTACCACCATGAATTCTAGAAGCATGCCTTTTTCCATAACGTTTTAATTCCCTAGGTATGCTTCTATAAGGTTCTTGCTTTAAGAATTCATTAAATGGCCAAGCACTACGTGTCTCACTTTCAGTAAAGACAGGGTCAAATAACTTTTTAGCCTTAATTGCATCTTAAATCCAGGTAAGCAATTCCTTTACACGTTCAGGATTCTTCTCCATAGAAAGAAGTGGACAGGGGATTCTTCCATCTGCCTTCTTATACCCTGTACAATACCAAGAATATCCCTCTTTATACCATGCTGGAATATTCAGAAGATCAATCCCAAGTGGTTCATCTGGCTCATAGTGCTTAATTCGAAGAGATGTTACTTCTGAAAGTCTCATACTTAACATTATAATTACATCTGCAAGTTCCACTCTAGTAGGAATTTTGGAAACATCCATGTTCTGAATTCTTTTACTCACATTTGCTAAAGAGAAATGTTTTGGAATTCTTGGTGCTTTAGCCATTCGTTTCTTAGTGCGCTTTCTCTGAATTTTATTAGACTCTTGGATAAGTTCCTTATCTTTGGCAAATTCTTCAATAATTGCAGGATCTACACTGCCTTCTGCTAACTTTACACGGAATGTTGACTGACGTGAGACACCGGCAACGATTTCATTTTCATCTTTATTTTTCGGACCCACTGCCTAATGATTAGCGATAATGTCTACAAAATCACCGGCCTTAGCACAGTATTCCGCCCTTCCCTCAATGGTGAGTTTTCTCTTTCTCTTATCTGGTAAGATAGCCTCTATCTGCTCTTTACTAAATGAGCATCTATTATCAGTACCTCTGTTATTAGTGCCTTTGGCAAGAGCAACTTTAACACACCTGCGAGCCATCCAATCAGGAAGCAAAGCATCAAGTTCGGGAGCATGTTTGCTTAATTGTTCTGGGGTAGAGTCAGCCGTCAAATTATGCTTTTTTAGGAACTGCTCTAAGACCAATACAAAGTTATTATCTTTAGATTTTTGAGTCTTTGGGGTAGCTGTTTTGGTAGCCATGTCAAAAGTAACTGTTATCTAGTTATATTATGTGAGAAAAAATTCAATTCGAAAAAATTCCTTAATCCCGAACGCTAAAGCAAAGCAATTTTAAATATCTATATTAAAAGTGAAGATGAAGTTTTAAGATTATTAATATCAAAATTACCTCATATGGATCGTTTATCCTGCCAATACATCAAGAAAGATGGTTCGATTTGTGGAAAAGGATGCTGCTGTGCTTCAGGATGTGCCATACATTATAAAACCCGTCCTAAAACAATATGCCCTATCTGTGATAAGCAAACCTATTCCGATACTGGAATCTGTAATACGCATGGTGGAATTTATAAGAATGCCTATCGTAAGGGTAAAAAAATAAAATGAAATCAGATATGGGTTATTGTACTAATTTTCCTGCCTTATAGAATCAAAGAGTTCCTGAATCTCGTTATCTGTTTTTAGCTTATATGGTGGAAGTCCTGGAGCATCTTTATCTCCAAAACCAGTACCGTTATATGGCTGGCGATTAATTTTGTATGAATATTCCCAAACTTGCTGTTCCTTGGGACCTATTTTTTTCCGATTGCTTTTAACTGTATAGCCACACCAATTATCAGAGATTGCATTAATTGCTTTTATAGCCGATTTAAGATCTGGCCTTTCTTTTGCACGAGACCTAAAGCCAAAAAGTAATAAAGACTGATTTCGGATTTCTATAAACCTTTCACATGATTGCGTGAATGATTCTGATATTATACTACCAGAAAGGGTACGCCTGTCATCAATGCCAGTAAAGCCTAATACTTGAAAGAGTTCCCTTATAATCTTCCAATGATTTGCTGAATAAGTTTTTCGCAAGTCTTCTGCTACAGATTTTTCAAAATTATTTTCAGCTTTAAAACAGGTATCCTCCCACTGTGCAAAGTCTTTAGTAGTTAAACCTTCTATTGCACTATCTTCATCGCATCCTTGTCTCCGAAAGTGAGATAACCGCAGAAAATGTTTTCGAGGTTCAGGTGAGCTAAAACGTACTACGAACTTCTTTTTGCAAAGATTATCCCAGTCATCATTACACATATCTTTACCACCATAAATATTTCGCATATAGAAACGTTTAAGTGCCATAGTATCTGGGATAGAGCGCTCTTGGTCAAACTTAAGATTTTCAGCTTCTTCAGGATCAAAATTTCGGGAAGTAGCAACTGCATCAAAATCGGATTCTTTGATAACTAATGCTTTAACTCTAACCTCATTACGGATCCTTTTGCAATTCCCTATAACACCTCGGCTTTCATCCATTTTTATTAGTTGAAGAGAAGCGCCTGTACTAGCTATAAGACTGCATGATATCTCAATAAAATTTCTTGCAGAAAACGTTTTCGATGTTCAACTTCAAGGTATGATATTACAGCAGGTGATTGATCAAGTTTATATAATACAATATTTTTATCCCATTCACGATGCCCCCTTATTGCTGTAGGCAAATTATTAGGCCGAGCACTCTCAAGCTCAGCACGAATATTTTCATAACCTGGTGGGCGAAAAAGATCACTGGAATTTTTTTGATAATAGAAGGATAGTATACGCTTTTTACAATCACGAATTCGAAACATCATCTGGATAAATGCTTCGACATTAACCGGAGTTGTAATATTTGTAATGCCTATAACCGCATCAAAGTGATTAGTTTTTTCGAAAGAAATACCTGCTTCTACAGTACTTGTATAGGCTACGCAATCAAGCTCACCCCAAGCGGTATTTATATCTGAGAAGTCTTTTTTTCGCTGTTTTCCGTCCATATATCCATAATAAGCATGGGCTCTGATGTGAGAATTATCAGGCTTTTGCAATTTACAGACTTTTTCTACCAATGCTCGGGCTATACTACAACTTGTTAGAACAAATGCCACGCGCTTGCCTTGCTTTAAAAACTCATATCCTATTCGCATAGCTTCAGCCCCGCTATTTGGATCATAAAGATACTCAACAGTTTTATCTACAAGAGGCTGAAATTTATTATCAATCACTCGAATATTTTCACCGCAATAAGCTTTGAGAAAGGTTAGAGTTGATGCATTCGCAAAGGCATCCATTGCTAATACATGCTGGGCCGTTCTTAATATATCACGCATTGCATTTTCAGATTCCAGTGCATTTGCACCACTACTCATTTGGCGGAGAATCGCATTGGTTTCATCCAAAATAGCTACTAGTAGGCGGGCTGAGAATTTGATACGAGAAAGACTCTCAACTTGGACTATGATAATATCCCATTTATCTACAGATAAGTTTAGTTCGTCTTGATAGTTACAAATTCTGAGTCCAGATGATTTAAGATCATTAATTTTGCCCTGCGATTCATTACTAAGAGTTTTTCGATAAGATATCCAGATAATGCAAGGTAATTTGACTTTACTTTTAGCTAAGGAATTAATATGCTTTCTTAACCCTTTTGTTTTTCCCGTCATCATAGGAGAGCGAATTAAAGTTATATTGGGCTCTTCACTCAAGAAATTGGGATAAGCTTTTGGAAAATCTTCCATTTCCTTTATATTAATAACTTTTCCATATAGTTCAGAAAGTATGCATAGTTTTGCTATAGCATTGGCTATTCTATCAACAATTTTTTGTTTAGGTTTTTCTTTCAGCTTGATTATGTCTGATACTTCTCAGATTTGTATTATTTCTGCTGATAGCATCTGAGTACAAAGCACCCATCACTTCGAAGATAGCCATATAACTGATCTCTTTCATGTTTGATTTCGCAAATAGGACATGTTTCATATGACTTTACTTGGAAGTTGACAAATCCCTTCTTAATACTACCAACTTTAAGCCATTCATATTTTGCCGTAACTAAACCAGCTTCCTTGCTTAAGGCAGTTTCATCTACAATAGGTCGAAACTACTCTTCTTTTGGCTTCTCAGAAGAAAAAGTTCAAGGCCAGATTTCAGAACAATCTGGTTTAGGTTAAACTAAATAATTCTCTAGTTTGCGATACCTTTCTTAACTGAAAAAACTGCAGGTCTTTTAACTCTATCATTCTTTGCTGATCCAAAAAACCGAAGACTAAATCGTGATTTATAAAGTCTTAGATCAATAAACTTAGAGTATGGTTTTCCAACCCTATCAGCAACCTTTTTTACAAAACCTCTAAGGTCTCTATAGTCAATAAAGCAGGCATCAGAACATATAATATGCCAACTGCATTTATTACCATTAGACGAACTAGCTAAAGTAAAAGCATTTAAAGTTATGAGATGTTTTAAATCAGAATATAAGATATCAGTGCAAGCAATTAAGATTCTAGACAATAAATCTTCACGAGAAATTTTATTTGCATCTAAGGAAGAGAGATCAGGATTCATAGGATCGGGCTTCTGTCTCGCATCAATATCCAGAACAAGGTGAAGAAGCAGGTTCCCATTGATAATTCATGAGAATCGGGAATCCCATAAACTTTAGATGGATGATCAACAACTGTAAAGCTTTTATCTGCCACCTGAATAATATATTTATCAAAAATCTCTTCAGGATGATAGGTATTTAGAAAAGCAATATCATCTTTATTATTAGACAAATATTGGAAATACATGTGATCAATATAACCCAGCTCAAAATCAAGGTCTGCTATACCTGAAAAGAGCCTTATTGCTTCATTTATTTTTTCAAGATTAGGTTCAAATTTTTTTTGTGTAAGTAGCATGATAGGTATGTAGAAAAAATTAATATAAAATTATATAGAAAATACCAAATCTTCAAAATTACTATTTTGAGCGAATATGATTCTTAGCAAAATACTAGGTCAGTGGTAGTATCCAAAAGTAATACCCAAAAGCAATCAGTGTAGTAATATCTTAAAGTATTCTGGAGTAGCAACTATACGAAAAAGAGTTCTAGGAAGAAAGAAACGTAAAATAAGGTATAGATTTGGTAGTATCCATAGAAAAGAAAATAAGAAATTATAACTTAGGATACTATCGACGATAGGCAGAAAAAGAATCAGAAAGGCAGAAAGTCTTAGGAGAATACACGAAAAAAAGATATAAAAAATGTAAATTCTAAACCAATTCGGCACTTCGTGTCTCATCCTCAGCAATCAAACAGGCTATAAAAGGCGGAATTGTAAGAATGACACAATACTAATACTTCGCATGTGTCTCACTGGCAATCAAAAAGTGGGTGAATAAATTGCAACATATCTTTAGCAAATAGATGGATTGCAAATTCGGCACTTCATGCCTCATCTGGCAATCAAGAAATGGCAAATATACGGATTGCAAGTTCAGCACTTCGTGCTTCAACCTCGCAATCAAATGGGAATATAAAGGTAAGATTGCAAGTAAGTTTAGCATCCTCTCTTGATATGTCAATCTGCCAAAATTATGTTATAGAGCTGACTGAAATTATGGTATAGAGCTGGCAAAATTTAATCACAAATTCACTACGCCACCCATTGTCTCTTTTTTTACATCATTTCAGTATTTTAAAGGGCAACCAAAAAGGCGCAAAAAAAAGAAGCATCCTCGATATCTTAACAGGCTACCAAACAGGCCCAGAAGCAGAAAAATAAGCGAATAGTTCTTTAGAAACAAAAAGAGCGCAAAGCATTGTAAACACATAAATAGTTCCTTGATAATAAAAAGAGGACAGAGCAATAAAATCAAGTGGATAGTTACAAGGTAACAAAAAGACCACAGAACAATGAAAACAAGCAGATAGCTATAAAGCAATAAAAAGATCACAGAGCATCAAAATCATATAAATAGGTAACAGTATACTCAAAGTAGGTAACAATTTACTCATAACTAGGTAACAGTTTAATGCAAGTAGGTAACAATTTACTCATAATTAGATTGCAATATATATATATTACAACCTAGTTATGAGTTTATTATTACCTACTTTAGTAATTTAATTTGAATGAATTTATTTAATAGAGTTTAAAAAGGCTTATAATCAAAAGAAAATTCATATAAATTGGATTACTGAATAGCAAAATATTTATTAGATAGATTTAATAAATTTATAAAAAAAATTAGATAAATAAATTTAATAACTATTAATTTTTTTTTAAATAATCAATTTATATTTGTAATATTATTTATTATTTGTAATAAAAAAAATTATTTATAAAAATAATGTCTTCAACATTTAAAATATTAATTTATTAATATTTTTATAAAAAAAAATAAAATATATCAATTTTTATTATTTATAAATTTAGTTTTTTATTATAAAAAATAATACTTTTAATACTCAAAAGATTCATTATTATAAAAAAAAAATTTCTTAGATATTTATAAGCATTTATTTATTACAAAAGATCAATAAATAGCATAAAGATCATTTATATTTATAATTATTTTTGTAATAAATTAATCAACTATATTATATATAAGTCAATCATTTCTAATATAATTGATTTTTTTTTTAGATATTACAAATCTTATTATGAGTTATATAATTATAATTATATTTTTATTTTTATATAATGAATTCTTATCAGTTATTTTGTAAATCAATTTTCTTATACTTACTATAAATAAATGACTAAAGTATCCCTTATTATATAATACCTTCTTATAAATCTGATGTAAAAAACCTGATATTATATATAAGGATTTCAAAAAATATTGTTAAAATTTGTATAATATCTCAGAATATTATACATTAATTATTTTTTATTAGCATATATGGGAGCTTATCAATAGAAAAGAAGGAAATCTAAAAATTTTACTTAATATGTTAAATATGATTTTTTTAGTAAAATAAATTCAGATTTAACTTTAACTTATAAAACATTTTTTTTTTTTGGATTTTCTTTCTTTCTATTAACAAACTTCCATATATAATTCGTAAAAAATATCAAAGTTTATAAAATCAAAAAAATTTATATTAAATATAAAATGCAAATATCATATATTCCTGAAATAAGCATTTTATTTTTGTTATGAATGTGCTTATTTTCAGGTAAATATTATTTTAGTATCAAAACTTCAATTGATGATAACCTGTGAACTAATAATTATAAAATAATAAAGTTTAGCTCATTGGATTTATCTTAAAAAGAGGAATTGAATGGTATAAATTTCATAAATTTTAGATAGAAATTAACTGAAATGATTGAGATATTATTAAGTGATGCTTATTTTTGGTAAATATATAAATGTGAGGATGCTTATTTTCAGAAGGTGCTTATTTTTTGGACTATACAATTTTTAAATAACTTATTTGCTTATATAGTATAGTATAATATTCTTTCTTTTAAAGATAAAGCTATAATTAATTTTAAAATTTTAATTTGTTATAACAATTTATGAATTTTTATATTAAAATAAATTTTATAAGAAGTTGTAAATAATTGCAACTCAAATTGTAATTTACCTAATTATAACTTCTTATCTTTACTTCCCTTTGACTAAAATACTTTTGTAATATAATATTTCTTTATCTTCATAATTTATAAAATATTCAGGTAATTTAATCAACTATTTATAATATTTATATTAGTGATATTTATCTAAATTCCTTTTTGAAAAAATGTAATTTTATCAAAAGAATTTACTCTTTAATATTTTTATATGAATAAATATAAAATTATTATATTTTTAATGTATTTAATTTAAGAAATTCAAATAAAGTTAAATATAATTTCAGTAATTAATTAAAATAGTTTCATTATTTCAGTTTTATTAGTTTGATTACATTAAGAAAGGTAGTTATCAGATATTACTATTAGAAATAACAATGGTCAGTTATGGTTAATTAATAGTTAATCAATAGTTAGTTAAAGATCAATTAACTATTTAACTGACTATTTAATTAACCTTTAAAATTAATATGATTGTAACAATAGTTTATTACTTATTAAAAAAGATAAATATAATATTTTGATTTTGATTTTTATTATTTTAATATTTTATTTATAAAACACTTTTTATATTTACATATTATATTTTATTGCAAATTTTAATTTTTATTGAAATTTTAAATAATATAAATCTTATAATTTTTAATACTTATCATAATTAAAAATAATGTTTATCAATTGATTAATCAAAATTAGTCAGTCAACTGATTGATTAGTAACCTTTTTCTGACTAGTATTAATCACAATTATGACTAGTCATAATTGATTATAATCATGATTATTAGCATCTCTAATTACTACTTTACATTTTTTGAGATTTAATTATTTAAATTATCTCATAAACTTCAATATAAAAGAATTTTTTATTTAAAAAATTATATATATAGTAAATAATTTATATAAGATAATTAAAGATGCCTTCTTAAACTATTTTTAAGAAATTAAGTTTTGAAATATTTGAATTAAACTATTTGTTATCATAAATATTTTTACTTAAACTTCTAATAAGTTTTTTTAAACTTAATTAAGCTTAATTAAGTTTTAGATTTGGGTTTTGAATATAGTGGCTATCATCTATAATCGACAATAGTTCAAAATTTAAAAATGTCAATCATCATATGATTTATATTATTTACGTAACTTTTATATCATATCGCTGATTACAAAATCTATTACATATTGTATATCAAAATGCATATTGTATTGCATTTATTTATTTAATTCTTCCAATATATAATTAGGAATATAACAATAAAATTTATATTTTTGGTAATATATTCTGCTAGCTTACTGGTGATTCACTTTTTATACTAATCTATATAACGCTAAGCCTTTCTAGCAAACTTTTTTATTGTAATTATATTTATAGAGTCTAAGACTGTAGAAATAGTACGCTGCAAGTCTGACCATAAATAATTACAGTTTTCCTGAGAAAATCTTTTATCACTCTCAAATTTTGCTCAATATAATTAAGTTCATAATGGAACTTTGAGTAAAAGATATATTTATGCTCAGCTTTTAATATTGTTTCTTCTAATATACTTTTTTATGCTAAAAAATCAGGTTGCAATGAAATAATCTATCGCGTATAATAATTTATCCAGTTTTTATCATCTACCTTATCTTTATACAATTGACAATTGGTATTTAATCCATCTTTCTATAAGCCACGTTCAATTAAAATTTTCTTTATTCCTTTTGGTTTACCATTTTTGTTTACCATTGATAACACTGATTATTTGGTTCAAAAATGATATTTTTCACCTTTGGTTACTTTTCTTCAGGTTTTAAGTTCATTCTATTAGCTACAAAAGCATTAGATTTAAATGCTACATGGTTTGAACTATTGTTGAATGTAAACAATGTAATACAATTAGGAAAGAGAATTTCAAATGTAGGATGGCCTTTGTCTTAACCTATTTTATTAAATGTTTACTTGTCTAAAAACCTTCTCAGTCTTTACCCGGTTAGAGATAAGTATGTACTTCATAGGTATAAAAGGATTTTTCTGAAATTGTTGTGCATTTAACTTGAGCTAGCTACACTTTTCTAAAATGACAATTCTCCAGACTTTGTCTATACTCCTTTTTTTCTATCATTAGAGTAAAATACGTATTTATATCGTGTGTTATAAGAAATATTTCTTTATTATTAGATCCTAGTGTCAGTAGAATCTGTTTCATATTTTTGACTTCATATTTTGCTATTAACTTTTCATAACTGTAGATCTCATTTAAAAATAATTTTTGATATTTTATAACATCAGGATGTTTGTGACCATCATAATACATGCCTATAATATTATTTAATAGTAAGTAATAAGCATTTCTTATAATAAAAAAAAACTGAATTACCTTATTTTGAGAATTAAAAAAATAACCAATTATGTTTAACTAACGTATTACAGTTGCTAAACTAATAATTTTTTTAATTATTTCTAAATTAATGAGTAATTTTGCTTAATAAACGCCTTAAATTTTAGCAGGATTATTGTTCCACCTTGAGGGCGAATCCAAATATGACATTTTCCACTATATCTTTATCATCAATTAATCAAATTATTTTTTGATATCTTCCTTAACAGTTTTTTAAAAGACAATTATATTGGAGTTAATAATTTGTCTAATATCAAATAACTTGTACTTTATATAATATATATTCAATAAAATACAATTGTACAACCTCTACACTAGCCTTTATCTTTTTATTTTCATAATCATTCAACTTCAAATATTCAAAAACTACTCTTTTCTTATTATATTTAATTACAATTAATGACTTTTGCTATTCTTTAAGCTCAATTTTTAAATTTTTGATTCTTTTATTTAGATCAAGTTGAGTTTTTTCCTCATTCTTCATATCATCTAAAATTTCTTCAAAGTCTTTAGGAATTGATTGATTTTTTACAGCTTTTGTAAAACTACCATTAAGTTTGTATTTATCAAAATATGTTGATTTTTTAGTTTTTTCAGCTTTTTTAGCAAGGTAAGGTCCATGTTTTTTCATTTAAATTCTGCATTATCTGACTAAACTAACTTATATTTATCTTCTTTTTCATCTAACAAATCTATTTTATCATCTCACCCGCTATCATTCTCATCTTCCCAATCATCAACAATCCGTGACTTTTTTACAAACTTTTCTTTATTATTTCGTTCTTACTTTTTGACCTTAGTTTTTTTTTTGATGGATAAGTCATTATTATTGAGTAGTCAAAGCATGAGAAAATAAAGAAAGTCATTTAATTTTCATGTGAAAAATGATTTTAAATTCGTATACAAATTGCTGATCCTTAGTCTGAATTTATATTTTTACTATTTATATCATGAAAATTTTTCAAATTTTAAACTGAAATAAATTTAAATTTTATTATTATATTTTATAAAATAAGCCGATAAAATGATTTAGATTATTTTGTTTTATTGATTTATCAGTTTAAATTTATATTTTATTACTTTATTTTTCATTTATAAAATTTAAAGCTACTTGATAATTTTGTTGATTATAGATGATAACCATCATAGTATCATTAAAAAATAATCATTAAATTTAAAATTTTAAAATATTCTAATTTTATTAAACTTTATGATAGTTTGAAAATCCTTTATAAATTAATTTTTAGTATTAAAATTTTTACTGATTATAATATATAAATTATTAATTTAAATATAATAGATTTTTTTTATTATAAGATAGACTTTATAAAGATAAGAAATAATAATTTTTATTTATAAAATAATAAATAAGAGTTTTAAAATATAAATTAAATAAAAAAATTTATTTAAAATAAAAAGATTATAAAGATTATAAATTAAATATTTTGAATTATTTAATAATACCAAACAATAAATTTTAAAATAAATAAAGATACTTATATAATATTATTAAGTTATTTTGAATATATAAAATATAATTACAAATATTATATAATAAAGAAATAATAATTAAGAAAAAACATAAAAAAATAAATATTAAAAAAAATATTATTTAAAAAAATTAATCAAAAATATTTAAATCAGAAAATTAAATTAAAGAAATAGAAAATAAAGAAGAAACTATAAAATATTAAATATAAAGATTATATAAAAATAAATAAGATTTTTAGTAAATAAAATAAATTATAAAATAAATTAAGAAGATATATTATGTAAAAATTTTAAATTAATAAAATTAATAATTTATATTGAATAAGTTATAATTATACTAGAAAACAGTAAATTATTATTAAGTCCAAAGCTATAAATCATGTGATTAATATAATATAATAATTAAATAATAAATTTATCTAATATGATAATTAAGATTGCTTGTCTAAACACATTTTGGATTTGGCTAAATGTCTAAACCTTTAGTTTTGCTAAATTTTTATTAAGTGTTTTATATAGTTTTCCACTTTTATAAGCTTTAATATAATTTTACTTTTTCTGAATTTTGCAGATTTTTAATAAGGTTTTAATATAATTTAATCAAGTTTTACCTTACCATTTAGACATCTGTCTAAACTCTAGATTTCGTTTAGCAACTTTAATAATAATAAATATTTAAATATAGTATGATTAGATAATACAAAAAATAAAAAATAAAAGATAAAGATAGAAATATAAGATAACGTAAGTAAATAAAAGGAAGGAAAATATAGTGAATAACATAAAATTGTAGATGACTGTATAATGAATTGTCCTTCATTTCACTCTGAATAATTAATATAATATAATATTATATTAAATATATTTATAATTTTATAATTAAAAAAATATATAAATATATTTATAATTAATTAATTAATCATTAATATAATTAATATTGTATATGAATGAAAGTTATATTTAATTTTCTTAAAAAGAAATTTTAAAAAAATTTTAATTTAATCTTATTTTAAAACTTATTTTATATATTTAAATCATTTATTAATTTATAATTATATTTTAAAAAATAATTCAATTATTTAACAAATAAAATTTGCATTTATATATTTTTTTTTTCTTGATTCTTATTATTATTTTCATTAAAATAAATTCACATAACAATTTATTTATAATGAATTTTTTTTTAATTATAATAAAGATCTTAAATTTTTTTTATAAAAAATATTTTATATTATAAATTTTTAGAATTTTTTTTTTTAATTTAACCTATTATATAATTATTTTAAATATAATTATATAGGAGGTAGTCAGTAGAAAAAGGGGAAATCTGAAAATTTTAGTAATTTTAGTTACTAAACTAATTTTGTTTACATGATTATGATCAGTAAAGTAAAATAATTAAAAAAATTTTGACCAAAATTTGGATTTCCCCCTTTTCTACTGACCGCCTCCCATATTATCCCTTAGACTGTAAAGCAGGCAAATTTGCCTGCGAAGTTAAAAAAAAAGTGTTAATTTCTTAATAAAATATTAAATATTAATTTTATTAATGTCATTATTATATAAAAAATATAGTTTAATATATATTTGATTAACTTTATTAGTAAAGATTTTAAGTTTTTTAAAAGATTTTTAAAATAATCTAATTTTAAAATTAAGTTTCAAACAATTTTATATAATA